GCGTGCAGCACAGGGCTGGATGTCATGGTTGACAACCTGAGACTCTAACGACTCCCTGCACCAAATTTTAACTTGACTTCAGCTTTTTAGTCTCATTTCATAGCACCTCCCCCTACCATGTCTGATTGCTGAGCTTTCCAGGGCTCCGTGGTGCTAACTGGCTGACTTCCTGGTGGGTACCCACACTGTAAGTTGGGGTTTCACCTTTCTCAGCTCTGCCATTTATCTATCAGCAACCAAAGTTTTATTACCTTCTCCCATATGCTGCTTCTCCTCTTCCAATCCTTTATCATTATACTTCTTTATACTTTTATTGCCACTTAGGGGGTTTTCAGGAAGGAATGGAAATAAATACATGTTTAATCCACACGTTTAACTAAAACTCTTCTGGACTGGTAAATTTCAAACTTCTAAACAGCATAACCCCACCCTTGATTGTGGGTGAAATCTCACCAAGAATCTCAATCTATAAAAACAGCACAGTGGTTGAGGCCCAGTCGGCCCTGCGCTCTCTCACGTTCCAGCAGGCATGTCCACCAAACCCAGCTGCCTTGCTAGACACTCTCTGGGCATCTCTGTTTCACGTAAACCTTCCACTCCAGCCAAACTGCCTCATCAATCATTCCCTAACGATATCTTTTACTTTCATGCCTTTCCCCCAACCTGGATCAACTTCCTCTTGTCATTTAAGTCCAACTCCAGCCCCTCCTCCAAGATCGCATCTGATCCCGCTCCCTCTGTGAGGCCTCCCCTACACCGTGGTCTATAGAGACCCCTCTCCCTGCTCACCTCTGGTCTAAACACCACCTAAGAGCAAATTACTGCATCCATCCTTAGTTACCAGGGCCAATACTTTTTGTTCCTGGAAAAAAAAATGACCATTCCTCATACAAGCGTCCCCTGGGTCTAACAGAAGGGGGTGGCCAAGACAGACTGAATCCTTTGACTCAATCTTACTCCGGAGTGACTGGGTCTGCTGAGACAAGGGCTCCGCCTGTAGTTTCAGGTTTGCTCGCAGCATGATAATGCTTCCTGGGGTGGAACTTCTCCCCTTGTTAGCGATGAAAGCTTAAGCACTCTTATTCTGTCTGGGCTCCCAGTTATGGTGCAGAAGTACCTGCCAGGGGCTCAGAGGTACTGAGGTCTGAGATTAAAACTCTGTAAGAACTAATAGGCTACGTGGGGTGTAGAGCTGAGCCACCGTCCAATAAAGCATTAAAAGTGTCCTGACAATAAGAAATCTGGATCTGTAATTACAATGCTTTCTGCTCTCCAGTGATGCTAGAGGCATCCCCAGCCCACACCTGGAGGGGCTGAGGACCTAGTCAGGTGTGGAGGAGCAGCCCAGCCCCTCAGGGAAATCAGGGAAGCTGCAGGTTCAAAGTCTTTCTCAGGGTACAATCTGTATCCAATTTGAAAAATGATGGAGGAAAGAAATGGAACCAGAGGGATTATTCTAGCACATTCTGGTCGTGTGAGCCTGCACCTCTCAGAGGTGGTGGACCTGGTATCATTAGGCAAATGTAGATGGTACATGCAGGGAGACATTTTTATTCTAACGGTTATATATTGATTTTATGTGCATCAGAAAAATGTGTGTGTGCTACTTTGTTTACCTCAACCCCTTCCTCTGCTTTATTTTACCTCAAATTACATATCACCACCTGACACTGTATAAACTTATTAACTCATTAATTGTGTGTCTCACACTACCGTGAGATCAGGGGTTTTCTCCTCTGGTGTACTGATGTACTCCCAGGGCACAGTGCCTGGTATAGAGCAGGGCTCAATAAATATTTGTTGACTGAAAAGAAAGAAATAAAGGAAAGAAGAGAAAAGAAGAAAAGGAAAGAAGGGAGGGAGGAAGGAAGAAAGGAAGAAAAAAAAGAAAAGAAAGAAAGCAAGAGAAAGAAAGCAAGCAAGAAAGAAATCTGGATCTGTTGTCCCACCTCAAAACTTAAAGAAGAAACAATTTTTGGCCATCCTTAGAAGACACCATTAAAATTTTAATTTAGATGCTATCCAAATGCTCATCAGGTCAAGGCCTACATAACTTATAGACCAGAGAGGGTAAGAGGCAGCAACTAGCACATTTCTAGAGTTAATGCTGCTTTTAAGTATAAGTGCTGTCAACACACAAAGTACAAATGTAAAACACATCCTGTTAAAAATCAATGATTATTTTGCAAGACAACTGGAGAAATTTGGCTACTGACTCAGTATTTGATGACAGCATGAAAATACTGTTAACAGTACCAAAACCCATAAAATACCTAGGAATAAATCTAACCAAAGACGTGAAGAATCTATACACTGAAAACTATAGAAAGCTTATGAAACAAATTGAAGAAGACAGCAAAACATGGAAAAAGATTCCATGCTCCTGGACAGGAAGAACAAATATTGTTACAATGTCAATACTACCCAAAGCAATCTACATATTCAATGAAATCCCTATCAAAATAACACAGGCATTCACCACAGAGTGGAACAAACAATCCTTCAGAGGTCTCCTCCAGAGACCTTCTTTCTCGGCATCCTCGCCAACATCTGTTGTTGCCTGAGTTGT